TTTTATAAGCAAATACTTTAAGAGCTAAAAATGAAGGCCATTAAACAAGAGGATAGGAATTCCTTTTTTTTTTTTTTTTTTTTTTTTTTTTTTTGCCCATTAAAATTATGGGAGAAGTATACATATTAATTATTAATTTAAAGTAAATTTATATAATAAGTTACCTATTATACAATATATAATTTCAAATGATAGTTTTAATGTGGATAATGGACAGTGAATATATTTTGATTATCTATACATTAACAGTGGATTCTTTATTTTTGAGCAATTAAATAAATAAATTAATAATATAGTATTTTTGATGCTTGAAATATTTCTTGAAAATTTCAAATTATGACCAAGAGTTACATAATTATCTAATTATGATTTTTTTAAAAAAATTTATTAAATTATGACTGTGAGGTCAATTTTCCTCAATATTTAGACTATGACTTTTATACTTGATAAGGAATATAATGGTCTATAAGGAATATAATGGTCTCAACAGTTACATGAATTTCTCTTAGTTATATTATATTAGATTATATATAAGTATTTGTTTGGCAAAATTTTTTTAACTGTTCGATTGTTTTTAATTGTTTTAATAGTATTAACTGTTTGATTAGATTCACGAGTTAATTTTTAAATAGTTTTTAATAAAATATTAAAAATTAAATACGTTACATGAGTTAACTTTTTATATAATATTATTTTAACATCTAAAATCTAATTCAGATGTTTTATTTTATTATTAACATTTAGTGTTGTTATTTAAAAAGCTATTGTTGCGGAAGAACCTAAAAGATAATTTAAATTGGTTGCTATTAAAAAAAAAAGCATAAACTAAAATTAAATTCTAAGCATAAAGAGGTTTTTTTTTTTTTTTTTAAAGAGGGTTTTTTTTTTTTTTTAGGTTTTTTTTTTTTTTTTGAGAATAAGCCAATCTCATTAAAAAATCAAACAAAGAGAGAAAAGGAATAACTTTGACAATTCAGCTTCAATTCATATCTCCCACGTTAAAAGCCGTAGAAAGGGAATAACTTTGACAATGATTCTGAAAAACAGGAGCTTTAGAGGGAGGGAGAAAGGAATTTTGGTAGGAATCTGAGGTAATTAAGAGAGATTTAAGAGAAAAAAGAGAGAAAAGGAAAGGAAAATATGGAATTGGAGAGAGTTGAAGGAAAGTAAAGAATCTGAGAAATTTGAATTAAAAAAGGGAAAGAAACAAACTGTGATTATTAAGAGAAGAAAGAATCTGGAGAACTGTAGCTTTTGTGGGTGTTCATACCTCACAGGCAGAGAAAGATAAAGAGAGAGACAAAGTGAATGTGTCTTTTTGTAGATAGAGAGAAGCAGAGAGAGAAAGCGCAAGGGAATGTATGCAATTTGGAAAGGAGAGATGGGTGGATAGTAAAAGTGTGGGATGGCTCAGTTTTATTATGGTGAGCTCGCTCTTTCTTTTATTTTTTTATTTTTTTATTTTTTTGGGATTTTTCCCCTTGATATAATTATGGCATCATCAGAAAAGAAAAAGATAGCGAAAGCATGTAAATTAAAGAAGTAATGTTTCTACTTATTTTGAGAAAATTCTTAAAATACTTTCCTTTTCTTGAACACTTATATATATATATGCCTGAACCAAATTTGTAAATTAACTTTTTATTATATATTATATATATATATAATTGGATGTTTGAACCAAATTTGTAAATTAACTTTTTATTTATCTCTCAAAATTAGTGTTCTCCGTAATCAAGAAATGTTAAAAAAATGATTTTTCGCTCATACATCGTCTCTCAATCTACTACTTCCTCCATTCTAAAAATATAGTTTGCTTTTTATTTTCACATTTTAAGAAAATAGTAATTATTATGATTAAAGGATAATTTTATTCATATAATTGTCTTATTATGTTCATCTTAAATAATACGCGAGCAATTATTATATTGAAATAATAAGTAAGAATTAATCAGGGTTATTGAAAATAAAATAAAGTTTAATAATGGTGTAATAGATAATTTAAAGATTAACTATAATGCAAAAAAAAAAAAAAAAAAAAAAAAAAAAAAAAAAAAAAAGTAGACTAGACAAATAAAAAAAAAAAAAAAGATGTATTATCTTTTTGGGACGAAGGAGCATTAAAGCGGACATTTTTCAAATTTACTATATACTTAGGTTAAATTAACCCAAGCTCCAACATAGGATCAAGGAAAATTTTCATTTTTTATTTGAAATTCCAGTTCCAATTTCAATATAAAGATTGTAATAGCTACAAAATATCAAATTTGGATTACAATTGTCATAAAATTAATTTTGAATGAGATTGCTATAAAAGATAAAATTTACGGTATTTTTGCATATCTTTATTTTAGCATGCCATATAAATAAAACACTTTAATGAATTTTTTACACTAATGTTTAATAGTTATTTATTATTTTATTTAATTATGAGCAAACTAATTATATAAAATTAATAATTCAAAAATTACATTAATAAATTTTATAAAATTTAATAAAAATGTAATATAAATTCAAATCAGTTAGTAAATACAAATCGGCCGCTAAAGAGTCAAATGCCAAGTAACTATTTGGATGGGATGGGACACGAGACCAACCCATAATCACAGCCACCAAGACCTGAAGATCAGGTGGTCTACTACATTAAGGTGGTCCAGAATACATTAGATTCTTTCTCCTTTTAATTCTCATAAATTGGTAATACCCAGACCCATTGTTCTAGACCCATTGTTCTATTTCACTGAGCACAAAAAGAAATCTTAGGCGCAGAGTGAGGTATGTGGTGTTGGGTGAAGTATACTAACAACCAAAATAAATAATGTCAAAAAAAAAAAAAAAAACCAAAATAAATAAATAATGACCATTAATGAGATTTAATCACCAATAATAAATAAAATAAAATAATGAATATCTATTTCTTTTTCTGTACAATTTTTTTTTTCTAATATTATTGAATCTGTTATGATGACATTCACTAGAAATTCGTTAAGTTTATTTAAAAATATTAAAGTTTATTCATTAAGTTTTTTTTTAAACTATGAGTATCCAAACTATTATCGCCCTGTACGGCTTCTTGTATCATTGGAATTCTCCATTATGAGTTCTGCTTTCTCTTCTTCTGCTTCAAGCTCTTCCCAGCGAACCCCTTCTTTTATCATTAATTCTATTGCTGCTTCTTATCCTTCCTCAACCTCTTCCCAGCAAAACCCTTCCGAGCCTAATAACTGTGAAGTTTTTATTAATTTCAGAGGCAAAGACATACGCGACGGTTTTCTCTCCTTTCTCTTTGAATCTTTGAAGGAAAAAGGAATCGATACCTTCAAGGATGAAAACCTTAAAAAAGGAACTGAAATAACACCATCCCTCAAGCAAACAATTCAAGAATCATGTATTTCAATTGTCATATTCTCTATTTCAAAGTTGTCATATTCCCTCCAAAAACTATGCAGATTCCTCCTGGTGCTGGAGCGAGCATTGTTGTGATAAATTGACTGGCAGGAGAAAAGTCGGGCAAATAGTTTTTTTGCCAGTTTTTACCGTTAGATCCAACTGGATAGTTCACAGAGCTGAGAAGGCCCTTTCTAGGACTTGCTAGGCTTTTAAAAAGATCACAGCGATAGTTTTCACACACCTGGGTGGATGGTGGCCATGCTTTGAAGACAATCAGCCAACGACCTTAAGGTGCTTTTTTGTTTCGAATGAGATCAAGTAAAGTTAAATGCATTTTCCCTGTTTACTTTTTCCATGTCTTTTTTAATTTTCTTATTCATTCAATAATAGAATCAATCTGCGCCACGCAAGATGCTTTTAGTCACGATATCACTGCTTTTGAACTCTCACTATTTTTATTTTCCTTGTTAAAATTCCTTGTTTTTTCATTTTCTCCCTATTCCTTCAATCATGGGTTTTTACCCACCCAGTTTTTCCAAACCACTTAATTGAGTTCTATTCTAGAAATATATAAGTTTTGGGCTTACTTTTTGTTGTTCCATATGTCATCAGGAATGACCAACTGCTAGTTCAAAGAATCGGTCCAATCGTGTTTCCGGAGATATTAAGTCATATGCCATCAAAAATGCTAGTTACATGGACAAGTTAGTTGGAATTGGAAAAGTTAGTTGGAATTGATTCGCGTGTCGAGCAAGTAATATCGTTATTGGATATTGATGTAAATGACAGAAATTGGATAATAGGAATTTGGGGAATGGCTGGTATTGGAAAGACAACTCTTGCCCGTATAGTGTTTTCCCAAATCAAGGCTAAATTTGATGCCCACTGCTTTGTTTCGAATGTCAAGGAACAGTTAAGGAAGGAAACAGCAATTGTTTTACGGGATAAAATCATTCGTTCACTAGTGCGAGACGAATATTTAAAAATAGGCTCACCACTTTTAGTTTTAGATGATTGGATTATGAGAAGACTGCAAAAAAAGAAAGTTCTTATTGTTTTTGATGACGTTGATGATTCAAACGATTTAGATCTTTTACTTGGAAACAGTAGTTTGTACCGTAAGGGAAGTAGAATCATTATAACTAGTACAGATAGACAAGTACTTCGAAATGTTTGCCATGAAGAACATATTTATCACGTTAAGGGATTAATTGATAAGGAAGCTCTTCAACTCTTTAGCTTGCACGCTTTCCATCAAAATGAACCGAAAGAAGGATATGTGAAGCTATCCGAGCAGGTGATAAGTTATGCTCGTTATGCTCCAGGCAATCCATTAGCACTAAAATAGTTTTGGGCTCTAGCCCTTTATGGCAAGGAGAAAGAGTACTGGAGAGCCAGTTTGCTCAAATTGAAAAAGCATCCGAACAAGAGAATTCAAGATGTTCTAAAACTAAGTTATGATGGGTTAGAATAGAAATGGAGCAGAGCATATTTCTGGATATCGCATTGTTTTCTTTTGGAAAAGGAGATACACATGAAAATAGCCTTGAAAAAATATAGAATTTGGTTTCCGCCTTTGCGAGATGTGGATAAGGAGTCTCATTATAAGGAGTCTCATTGATAAATCTCTCATCGCCATTCGAAAATATGATCGTAAAGTAGAAATGCATAACTTACTACAACAAATGGGAAAGGAGATTGTCAATGAGGAATGCAAACAGCCTGGAGGACGTAGTAGGTTGTGGAATCCTGAGGACATTTCTCATGTATTCAAAACAAATACAGTAAGGAGCAAAATTTGCCACTTTTGAAATTACCACTGAACATAATTAGAGATGGTTCCAATTGCTTTTCTTTTTAAATATTTTATACTCATACCTTTATATATATATATATATATATATGTATATATATATATATTGATTTTCCAATTTTGTTTGTTCGTTTATCAGGGAACTGATAATATATATATATATATATATATATTGATTTTCCATTTGTTGTTCGTTTATCAGGGAACTGATAAGATTGAGTGCATTTCGCCTTCTTCGTCGAATGCTGAAGCTATTGAGATACGTTCCAAAAGTTTCATGAAGATGCCTAATCTTAGATTCCTCAGAATCACCGATTCCAATTGGATTTTGCCTGATGGCCTTGATTTTCTTCCGGAACAGCTAAGATATTTATCTTGGCTTTTTTACCCTTTGAAATCTTTGCCGTCGAAGTTTTGCCCAAATAATCTTGTAGAACTTCGCTTGCCTTGCAGCCAGCTCAAACAACTGTGGAAAGGAGATAGTAAGGTACTGCATTTTTAAAGTTTTGCTATACTTCCTAAAGTTTAATACTTTTCTATTTGGTGTAAATGAACTTCAAGTATAACATAATAAGATGGGATTTAATTGAGTTAAATTTTATAAAATTGATTTTATGAGAGTGAAAATTATTATTTCTTTTCCATAACAAATATAAATTAAACATTAAATTTTAATCATTCATATTCTTGCTCTTTTTATTACAGCCTTTTAAAAGTTTGAAAGTTATGGACCTCCGCAGCTCTCCGTCTTTATTGAGAATTTCGGACTCATTTCAAGCCCCAAAGCTTGCTCAGCTACAGTTAGATAACTGTAAAAGTATTCGCAATTTGCCAAGCTTCCTTCAGTTAGAAAATCTTGAGATTCTTAATGTTCAAGGCTGCAGTAAACTTGAAGAATGTCCAGAAATTCCTTGCAATTTAAGGGATTTAAATTTAAGTAGAACTGCAATAAAACAATTGCCTTCATCAATTGGACATTGCTCTCAACGTGTTGCATTATCGTTAAGTGGGTGTACAGAGCTTGAAAATCTTCCAAACTCCATTGGCCAGTTACAATCTCTTGAATGCATTGATCTTAGATATTTGAAATTCAGCACATTGCCAAATAACTTCAGATATTTAAAATCTCTGAAGGCACTTAAAGCAACAGGAAGTGAAAGAACATTACCATCCTCTTTCAATCAATTGAGCCAATTGGAACGTTTGAATTTTATGGGCTGTAAAGGTTTGACGGTATGGCCTTCGTTGTCCGGTTTGAATAGCCTACAGATGCTTCATCTGCGTGACTCTGGTATATCAGAAATTCCAGAGAGTATTGGATCAATTCCAGAGAGTATTGGATCATTAGTTTCATTGAAAAAGTTATATTTATATGGAAACGATTTCAAAAGCATTCCTGCAAGCATCAAACAACTTTCTAACTTGGAGACTCTTGTGTTGGATGATTGTAAGAGGCTTAGATATTTGCCAGCGCTTCCAGGCACAAGGTTATTTTCTGCATCAAATTGCTCCTCTTTAGAATTTGTATCATTTTCGTCCTCTTCCAGGTACACTGATCTTAATTTTGGTAACTGCATCAAATTGGGTGATAAATTACGTCTTCAGATTTTGGAAGCCCCGTTCTCAGCACACCCAGACCAGCACGTATGTTCCCTTTCTCTAATATTAAATTAATAAAGAAGTCCTTATTAAAAAAAAATTGTTAATTAAGATTTTCGATGATAAACATCAATGGAATATTTTCCTAACTTGTGAATTTCATAATTAATTTATGCTTTGATAAGGGAAGAGAGATAAACATAATAAAATTGAACTATATATCACGAAAGATTTCAATAGTTATTATAGGCGTTTTTTAAAATTTGTGTTTAAATTATCCATTTACTCATTCATCAGCTATTTAAATTCAGCTCTATCGTTATTTAATTATGATATTCTTTAACAAAATATATTTTCATGGAGCAACAGTGTCAATTATGTATCCCTGGGGGGAAAGTGCCGCAAATTATGAAATATCGAACAAGTGGGTCTCATCTTTCAGTTCAGTTGGAAAGACCTGATCGTGTGTTGGGTTTTTATTTTTCCGTTGTTATTGATTTCCAAGATTTTGATTTGGATGAATATGGCATTACGGGTTATGTGAACTTCCAAGATAAATCTGGAAAGATGTATAAATATAGCTGTAACTTTTATCTTCGATATTTTTGGCTTCCTAAGTTAGATTCAAAACATGTGTTCCTTAGGTATACATCTTTTGTAGATTCAAAACATGTGTTCCTTAGGTATACATCTTTTGATCATGAACGGAATTTCACTCGAGTCTCATTCCATGTTGATCACTTCTCTCTAAATTTTTCCGGAAAAGGTGAAGACAGTGCGAAGGTGATCAATTGTGGCATTCATCCTATATATCGGGAAGAAAATAGGAAAGCCGAATAAGGAATGATTAAAACCAAGAAGGATGGCATCAGGGAGAACCAAATAAGGATACATACCGGCGGCGAACTCTGAATTATGGGATTTTGGTTGACTTCAGTTTTCAATTCACAGCATCACAGTAGTGGAGAGCTTCAGTTTTCAATTCACAGCATCACAGTAGTGGAGAGAATCAGCTTATTATTGGCTGTTACTTGGCTATTAGCACTCATAATAGCTAATCTATTTCTAAGTTTCTGCAGTTGTACATTGGCATTGTATCTCAAGGGCTTGTTGCAGTTGGTGGAAGACCTTTAATCATGTTTGCAGTTATCCTAAATGCTTGTAATTATTTGCTAGTTTGGAGTTTTGGTGGGAAGTATAGATTGATCTTTAAAAGATGTTTGCTTCATTTCAATTGATCTTTAAAACAAATTTTGTAAATTGGTTCAATTATATCAGCAACACACACAAATATTTATATTGATCCTTAATCCCAACACTTGAAGTCTAGTTCCACCCCGCAAAGTGTTTGTCAGTTAAATCTCTTGAAGGAATTGATGTTACAAATTGTCTGAAATTCAACGGACTGCCAGATAATTGTGGAGATTTAAAATTGCGGATGGAGCGTGAAGCAAAAGCAAGTGGCATAAAAATATTACCATCATCTATCAATCAATTGAGCAAATTGGAATTCTTATGTTGCGAGGGTCTGTAAGGGTTTGATGACATTGCCTCCTTTGTCTGCTTTGAATTGCCTAAGGAAATTTTATCTGAATAAGTGTGGTATATCAGAAATTCCAGAGAGCATTGGGTCATTAATTTCATTGGAAGAGTTATATTTAGATGAAAACGATTTTAAAAGTATACCTGCAAGCATCAAACTACTTTCTAAGTTGAATGATTGTAAGAGGCTAAGAAATTTGGCAACTTCCATTCTCAAGAACATTTTCTGCATCAAATTGCATCTCTTTACAGTTTGTATCATGTCCATTCCTTTTCCTGGAAGATGAAGATGAAGATGGACGGGCATGTGTAGAGCGTGATGATTTTTTCTTAGATTTTGATAATCTTGTAGACCCAAATATTTACGTGAGTTGCTGATAAAATTGAACCAATTTACAAAATTTGTTTTAAAGATCAATTGAAATGAAGCAAACATCTTTTAAAAATCTAGGTTATTGAATCATGTACATTATTACATACTTCCCTCCTAAATTCCAAACTAGCAAATAATTAAAGACATTAGGATGACAGCAAATAATTAAAATTTACAAGCATTTAGGATAACTACAAACATGATTAAAGATCTTCCACCAACTGCAACAAGCCCTAAAGATACAGCGCTAACCCATAACTGCCGAAACTTAGAAACCAAAGATTTGAATTAAAAACTGAAGTTTAGTTAATCAAAATCCCAAAGAGAAACACACGAAACTAGAAATTCCTTTAATCAAAGTCTTGGTCTTGATTTCTTATCCCAAAATTCAGCATTCGCCGACCGTTTCCTTGTCTGGGGCTCTCCATTACAATCCTTGTTGGTTTGAATCATTTCTTGTTTTGGTTTCCTATATTGTTCCCGAGAAACAGGATGAACACTACACTTAATCATCGGTTCCCTATTATAACTAGGTTCATAACTCTTACTAATAGCAAAGTGGAATGAGGCCCGAGTGAAATGCTCTTCACAGTCAGGGCCCGAGTGAAATGCTCTTCACAGTCGAAAGATTTGTACCAAGGAGCAACTGTTTTTGAAGTCTAACTTAGGCACAAACAGCATACCTGAAAAAAATAAAAGCCATGGATCTTTCCAGATTTATTCTTTGAATTTCAGGCAAAACATTTAATGGAACCTTGATCATGAGAATGAAGAAGTTGGGGCATGAGAATGAAGAAGTTGGGGATCAATAACAGCGCAAAAGCAGAAACCCAAAATATCATCATCCCTCTCCAGCTCGAATGAAAGATGAGATCCACTTGTCTGATATCTCATACTTTGCGGTACTTCCATCCCAGGGATACATATTCCGAACACCTGTCCCATGAAAATAAAATTGGGAAAAATACAGTCAAATTAACACTTAAGTTAGGACTCTCAAAGCTGTTTCAAAATAGAGTGGAACATTAGAGAAAGGAACCATACCTCTATGTTTGAATGTGGTGACAATACGGTTTCTATAATTTTAATACCTACATTTTCGCCCAATTTGATGCAATTAATAAAGTTAAGACATACAAACAGAAATCCATCTTCATCTTCATGGGAAAAGAATGGACACGATACGAATTCTAAAGAGGTGCAATTTGATGCAGAAAACGAAAATAAGATTGGAATCTCTGGCAAATGTCTAAGCCTCATACAATCATTCAAGCTAAGGATAACGAAGTTAGAAAGTTGTTTGATGTTTGCAGGAATGCTTTCGAAACCGTTTCCATCCAGATATAACTCTTTTAATGAAACTAATGATCCAGTGCTCTCTGGAATTTCTGATATACCACAATCAACTAGAATAAGTTGCTCTCTGGAATTTCTGATATACCACAATCAACTAGAATAAGTTCCTGCAACAGATTCAAACCAGACAATGAAGATGGTAATGTTTGTATGCCACTTTTTGTTGCAATGAGTTCCCCAAGAGATTTTAAATCTCCTAAGTTATTTGGCAATCTGGGAAGAGGTTGAGGAAGGAGAAGAAGCAGCAATGGAATTAATGATAAAAGAAGGGGTTCGCTGGGAAGAGGTTGAAGCACAAGAAGAGAAAGAAGAACCCATAACGGAGAATTCAAATGATACAAGAAGCCGTAGAAGGCGAGTTTTATAAAAAGCAGAAGAGTATATATAAAGCTAAACCATTGATTTGTATTAAGTACAGTTCATTGCTGATCAAGTCAAAATACCGAGGAAAATTGACCTGACAATTATAATTTAATAATTTTTTTAAATCACAATTAGATAATTATGTAACTCTTGGTCATAATTTGAAAATTTCAAGAAACATTTCAAGCATCAAAAATATTATATTATTAATTAATCTGTTTTGCTCAAAAATTAAAGAATTCACCGTTAATGTTTAGATAATCAAAATATAATTACTATCCATTATCCACATTAAAACTATCATTTAAAATGGCCATGCCCGACTATTTAGTTTCATATGATGCAAATTTTGCTCCATACAATAACAGATTGATATATATATTTACATCAATTAACACATTTGATCAAATCAAGTAAAAACGATGTATATTTACTGTATCAATATTAATTTAAGCAGAATCGAGAGTCCTGTCTTTTTTTAGAGTATAAACAACATTCATGGCAGTTATAGATTTTCAATAAGAAAAAAAATCGTAGAATCGCAACCAATACCAATAGAGAAGAAGACGATAAAAATATAAATGAAATATTAGAAGAATATAAACGAAATCAATTTTCTGGTGAGGACTCTCATGCCGATCCTGTATGTGATGATGACTCTCACATCAGTCTTGTCAATGGAGACAATGTTTATGAAAAAAAAATGAAATAAATAATTTGCTTATGTATTTTTAATTAAAAATGAAAAGTAAAATTATAAGCTCTTTTTGATTCTCAAGTAATGAACTAAAATATTAAATAGCACAATTAATTATTGTGAGTAAATTATTGTAATTCAACTTATATAGTTAGTTATTTTTTTTTTTTTGCTCTTTAAAATTCTCACATGTTCAAATTGGATGAGGTATTATAAGAATATTTAATTTTGATGAAATAAATTTTAGTGAATTGAAATCAATATTTTAATTTTTTTTTTGCTAATGTAACTACATTATTCAATTAATTTTTATCAAATATGACTTTATTATAACTCTATTAGTTTTATTTGATAGAAAAAATTATTTTCTTTCTCTCTAAATTTAATTTGTAACAAAAGCAATTATGAGAATATTATTTATAGTCTGCGCATCAAAATAACCCTGCTAATTTGATTTTCCAGCTCATACTGGATGTTGAGGCCTATTCAATTGATGAGTAAAAGCAACCGACTATAGAAATTTGGCTCCTAGCCATGAACAAATCAAAGAACCACCTCAAAATCATCAAACCCTTTGATTTCACCAATATTATCATTGTATCTTCAGCTTTCCTCCCTCTTTCCATGTATAAATACCAAATATTCCCAATAATTTTCTTTTTTGCCTATTAAAATTTTTTTTTTTGAAAGATAATATTATTGCATTAATCAAGGAAATAAATCCAATAAACAAGAGGGATAGAATTCCTTTTTTATTTTTTTTGCCCATTAAAATTATGGGACTGAGAAGTATTTTTTGCCCATTAAAATTATGGGACTGAGAAGTATACATATTAATTATTAATTTAAAGTAAATTTATATAATAAGTTACCTATTATACAATATATAATTTCAAATGACAGTTTTAATGTGGATAATGGACAATGATTATATTTTGATTATCTAAACATTAAGGGTGGATTCTTTAATTTTTAGCAACTAAATAAATAAATTAATAATATAATATTTTTGATGCTTGAAATATTTATCAAAATTTTCAAATTATGGCAATATAATAAAAGAGGAGATTGGGAGAGTTGAGAAGAAGAAGATGGAGCTTTAAGATGAGATGGAGATTTGAGAATGTTGATTTATTAAAGCCCTTTAGTGTAGCGGTTCATACCAGCTGCTAATTGATAGGGGTTGCTGGTAGTTAGTAACTCATGATTAATAGCGATTAGCTGATTACTATTCGTATTTGGTAAAATGTTAAGTTGCTGTTAAAATATAAAATGACTATTAATGGTATAATTATTTTTATATATTATGATGTATAATATATATATTGATGTAAATAAATATATATTATATATATATATATATAATATATAATTTAAGGCAAATATATTATTTTTAACGTAGATAAGGGACAGTGATTTCATTTTGATTATTTAAACATTAATAACATTAACTATGGATTCTTTGATTTTTGAGACATTAATAACATTAACTATGGATTCTTTGATTTTTGAGCAATTAAATAGATTAATTAATAATATAGTATTTTTTTATGTTTGAAATATTTTTTGAAAATTTCAAATTATAACAAAGAGTTACATAATTATCTAATTATGATTTAAAAAAAATTATTAGATTATGATTGTGAGGTGAATTTTCCTCAGTACTTATACTATGATTTTTATACTTATCAGCAATTGGATTCAGTTGACTCTCTTTTTTGCTTGACTCTCCATCGCCTCACTTTTCTCTCTTTCCTACTTCCACTCACTCACTTTCCTAAAGCTTCTTTGAAGTTTCTGTGATGATGATTCTCAAATCTCAATGGTTAAGCTTTATATATACTCTTCTACGTTTTATTAATGCTTTATATATATATATATATATATATATACTCTTCTACATTTTATAAAACTCGCCTTCTGCGGCTTCTTGTATCATTGGAATTCTCCATTATGGGTTCTTCTTTCTCTTCTTCTGCTTCAACCTCTTCCCAGCGAACCCCTTCTTTTATCATTAATACCAATGCTGCTTCTTCACCTTCCTCAACCTCTTCCCAGCAAACCCATTCCGAGCTAAATAACTATGAAGTTTTTATTAATTTCAGAGGCAAAGACATCCGCGACGGTTTTCTCTCCTTTCTCTTTGAATCTTTGAAGGAAAAAGGAATCGATACCTTCAAGATACCTTCAAGGACGAAAACCTTCAAAAGGAACTGAAATAACACCAGCCCCTCAGCAACATTCAAAGAATCTATGTAATTTCAAGTTGTCATATTCCCCAAAAACCTATTTCAGATTCTCCCATGGTGTGCTTGGACGAGCTTGTTGTGATAAATGAATGCAGAGAAAAGTCGGGGCAAATAGTTTTGCCAGTTTTTTACCGTGTAGATCCAACTGATGTTCAAGAGCTGAGAGGCCCTTTCGCAAGGGCACTTGCTAGGCTTTTAAAAGATCACAGCGATAGCTCACATAACCTGGGTGGATGCTGCCATGCTCTGAAGACAATCAGCAACGACTTAAGTGCTTTTGTTTCGAATGAGATCAAGTAAAGTTATCATTTTCCCTTATTTACTTTTCCATGTCTTTTTATTTTCTATTCATCAATAATAGATCAATATAGATCAATCTGCGCACACGATAGATGGCTTCTAGTATCTACTCCTTTGAACTCTCACTTATTTTTATTTTCTTGTTAAAATTCTGTTTCATTTTCTTCTATTCCTTCAATCATGGGTTTTACCCACCCAGTTCTTCCAAACACTTAATTTATTCTATTCTAGAATATATAAGTTTTGGCTTACTTTTTATTTTTCATATGTGATCAGAAATGACCAAATGCTAGTTCAAAGAATCGTCAATCGTGTTTCAGAGATGTTAAGTCATATGCCATCAAATGCTAGTTACCATGACAAGTTAGTTGGAATTCATTCACGTGTCGAGGGAGTAATATCGTTATTGGATATTGATGTAAATGACAGAAATTGGACAATAGGAATTTCGGGAATGGCTGGTATTGGAAAGACAACTCTTGCCGGTATAGTGTTTTCCCAAATCAAGGCTAAATTTGATGCCCACTGCTTTGTTTCAAATGTCAAGGAACAAATAAGGAAGGAAACAGCAATTGTTTTACGGGATAAAATCATTCGTTCACTATTGGGAGACGAATATTTCAAAATAGGCTTACCACTTTTAGTATTAGATGATTGGATTATGAGAAATGATTGGATTATGAGAAGACTGCAAAAAAAGAAAGTTCTTATTGTTTTTGATGACATTGATGATTCAAACGATTTAGATCTTTTAGCTGGAAACAGTAGTTTGTACCGTAAGGGAAGTAGAATCATTATAACTAGTACAGATAGACAAGTGCTTAAAAATGTTTGTCGTGAAGAACATATTTATCAGGTTAAGGGATTAATTTATAAGGAAGCTCTTCAACTCTAAGGAAGCTCTTCAACTCTTTAGCTTGCATGCTTTCCATCAAAATGAACCGAAAGAAGGATATGTTTTGCTATCCAAGGAGGTGATACGTTATGCTCAAGGCAATCCATTAGCACTAAAAGTTTTAGGCTCTAGCCTTTATGGCAAGGAGAAAGAGTACTGGGAGAGCCAGTTGCTAAAATTGAAAAGCATCCCGAACAAGAGAATTCAAGATGTTCTAAAACTAGGTTATGATGGGTTAGATAGGAATGAGCAGAGCATATTTCTGGATATCGCATGTTTCTTTGGAAAAGGAGATACACATTAAAATGAGCTTGAAAAAATAATAGAAAGTTTTGGTTTCTTTGTAAGATGTGGAATAAGGAGTCTCATTGATAAATCTCTCATCGCCATTCGAAAATATGATCGTAAAGTAGAAATGCATAACTTACTACAACAAATGGGAAAGGAGATTGTGAATGAGGAATGCAAACAGCCTGGAGGACGTAGTGGGTTGTGGAATCCTAAGGACATTTCTCATGTATTCAAAACAAATACAGTAAGGAGCAAAATTTGCTACTTTTGAACTTACCACTCAACGTAATTAATGATGATTCCAATAGCTTTTCTTTTTAAATATTTTATACTCATACCTTTATATATATATATATATATATATTATATATATATATTTCATTTTTTATATATATATATATATATATTCATTTTTAATTTGTCGTTCGTTTTACCAGGAAATTGATAAGATTGATTGCATTTCGCCTCCTTTTTTGACTGCTGGATCTATTGAAATAAGTTCCAAAAGTTTCATGAAGATACCTAATCTTAGATTCCTCAGAATCACTGATTCCAAATGGATTTTGCCTGATGGCCTTAACTTTCTTCGGGAACAGCTAAGATATTTGTCTTGGCTTTTTTACCCTTTGGAATCTTTGCCGTCGAAGTTTTGCCCAAATAATCTTGTAGAACTTCGCTTGCCTAGCAGCCAGCTCAAACAACTGTGGAAAGGAGATAGTAAGGTACTGCACTTTTTAAAGTTTAGCTATACTAAATTAAACATTAAATTTTAATCATTCATATTGAGAATTACAGCCTTTTAAAAGTTTGAAATTGATGGACCTCAATACCTCTGTGTCTTTATTGAGAATTTCGGACTCATTTCAAGCCCGAAAGCTTGAGGGATTATATTTGTCAAGATGTAGACGTTTCATTGAGATACCTTCATCTCTTAAATATTCAGCCAAGCTTGCTCGGCTACACTTAGAGTACTGTGAAAGTATTAGCAGTTTGCCAAGCTTCCTTCAGTTAGAAAATCTTTAGATTCTCAATCTTCATGGTTGCAGTAAACTTAAAGAATGTCCAGAGCATCCTTGCAATTTAAGGGATTTAAATTTAAGTAAAACTGCAATAAAACAATTGCCTTCATCAATTGGACATTGCTCTCAACTTGTTGTATTATCGTTAAGCTGGTGTACAAAGCTTCAAAATCTTCCAAACTGCATTGGCCAGTTACAATCTCTTGAACACATTGATGTTAGAGGTTTGAAATTCAGCACATTTCCAAATAACTTTGGATATTTAAAATCTCTGAAGACACTTAACGCAACAGGAAGTGGCATAAAAACATTACCATCCTCTTTCAATCAATTAAGCCGATTGGAATATTTATACTTTGCAGGATGTAATGGTTTGACGGTATGGCCTCCGTTGTCCGGTTTGAATAGCCTACAGACGCTTCATCTGGGTAACTGTGGTATATCAGAAATTCCAGAGAGTATTGGATCATTAGTTTCATTGAAAGATTTATATTTAGATGGAAACGATTTCGAAAGCATTCCTGCAAGCATCAAACAACTTTCTAACTTAGAGACTCTTATGTTGGATGATTGTAAGAGGCTTAGATATTTGCCAGAGCTTCCATGCACATGGTCAATTTCTGCATCAAATTGCACCTCTTTAGAATTCGTATCATTTTCGTCCTTTTCCAAAGCAGAAACAGAAGATGACTTTCGGTACACTGATCTTAATTTTGGTAACTGCATCAAATTGGGTGATAAATTACGTCTTCAGATTATGGAGGCCCCATTCTCAACACACCCAGACCAGCACGTATGTTTCATTTCTCTAATATTAAATTAATAAAGAAGTCACGTATGTTTTCATTTCTCTAATATTTATTAATAAAGAAGTCCTTAATTAAAAAAAAATGTTAATTAAGAATTTTCGAGATAAATAAACATCAATGGAATATTTTCCTAAGCTTGTGAATTTCTTATTAATTTATGCTTTGAGCAAGGGAAAGAGATAAACATAATAAAATTGAACTATATATCATCTTACCATAAAAATAAATATCACGAAAAAATATCACGAAAAGATTTCAATAGTTGTTATGGACGTTTTTTCAAATTTGTGTTTAAATTATCCATTTACTCATTCATCAGCTATTTAAATTCAACTCTATCGTTATTTAACTATGATATTCCTTAACAAAGTATATTTTCATGGAGTAGCAGTGTCAATTATGTATCCCTGGGGTGGTGGAAGTGCCACAAATTATGAAATATCGAACAAGTGGGTCTCATCTTTCATTTCAGTTGGAAAGGCCTGATCGTGTTTTGGGTTTTTATTTTTCCGCTGTTATTGATTTCCAAGATTTTGATTTGGATGAATATGGCATTACAGGATATGCGAACTTCCAAGATAAATCTGAAAAGATGTATGAGTATGTCTGTGACTTTGATTTGCCATATTTTGGGCTTCCTAAATTAGATTCAAAACATGTGTTCCTTAGGTGCAAATCTTTTGATCATGAGCCGAATTTCACTCGAGTCTCATTCCATGTTTATCAATTCTCTGTAAAGTATCCCAGAAAAGGTGGTGCCAGTATTGGGAGGGCGATCACTTGTGGCATGCATCCTATACATCGGGAAGATATAGGAAAGCTGAAATAAGGAATGATTAAAACCAAGAAGGATGGTATCAGGGAGAACCAGATAAGGATACAGTACAAGTGGCGAACGCTGAATTATAGGAGAAGAAATTGAGGCAAAGAATCTGATTAAGGTCAATTTGTATGGCAAATGGAAATTGACAATAGGTAAAGGAATTTCTAGTTTCGTGTGTTTTACTTTGGGATTTTGGTAGACTTCAGTTTTCAATTCACAGCATCACATTCACAGCAAGTTTCGTGTGTTTTACTTTGGGATTTTGGTAGACTTCAGTTTTCAATTCACAGCATCACAGTAGTGGAGAGAATCAGCTTATTATTGGCTGTTACTTGGATATTAACACTCATAATAGCTAATCTATTTCTAATTTTCTGCAGTTGTACGTTGGCATTGTATCTTAAGGGCTTGTTGCAGTTGGTGGAATATCTTTAATCATGTTTGCAGTTATCCTAAATGCTTGTCATTATTTGCTAGTTTGGAGTTTTGGAGGGAAGTATAGATTGATCTTTAAAAGAGGTTTGCTTCATTTCAACTGATCTTTAAAACAAATTTTGTAAATTGGTTCAATATTATCAGCAACTCACGTAAATATTTATATTGATCCTTAATCCCAATTCTTGAAGTCTAGTTCCACCCCACAAAGTATTTGTGGGTTAAAATCTCCTGAAGGCATTGATGTTACAGATTGTTTGAAATTCAACGGATTGCTAGATAATTTTGGAGATTTAAAATTGCGGATGGAGCGTGAAGCAAAAGCAAGTGGCATAAAAATATTACCATCGTCTATCAATCAATTGAGCAAATTGGAATTCTTATGTTGCGAGGGATGTAAAGGTTTGATGACATTGCCTCCTTTGTCTGGTTTGAATTGCCTAAGGAAATTTTATCTGAATAAGTGTGGTATATCAGAAATTCCAGAGAGCATTGGGTCATTAATTTCATTGGATGAGTTATATTTAGATGAAAACGATTTCAAAAGCATACCGCCAAGCATGATTCTACTTTCTAAGTTGAATGATTGTAAGAGGCTAAGAAATTTGACATAACTTCCATTCTAAAGAATATTTTCTGCATCAAATTGCATCTCTTGACAATTTGTATCATGTCCATTCCTTTTCCTGGAAGATGAAGATGAAGATGGACAGGCATGTGTAGAGCGTGATGAGTTTTTCTTAGATTTTGATAATCTTGTAGACCCAAACTAATGCATGTAAGATCCTTCATACTGTAAAATTTGCAATTTTATCCTAATAGTTTGATTTAGTTTTTTTTTTTTTGAGATATAGTAAATTAAATAAAACTTAATATTTTAACTATTATAAGGTAAGATGAACTCTTTTTTCCCGAAATTCAATTTTTTTTATGGAAATATATTTTCTTAGAAAAATAGAATTTCAAAAAAAAAAAATTATAGGAAAGTCAAATTAATTGTTACCTTCCAACCTTAATCACCCGTCTTGACGAGAAAGCTTGTGTAAAGTCAGTTGCATCAGATACAATACATTTATGATGAAAAGATTTTTAAATGGCATCTAATTGTATTAGTTTAATTGTAAAGAATTGAGATTCTTATTTTTGGTTAATTATTTATTTAGATTCTATATTATCAAAGAAATATTTTTAAATGTAAGAATATTTTTAAAAATTAATTTAATTTCATAAAAAAGTTAATCAAGTATGATTTTATCAGTTTTATTATAAAATTTTTTATAATTTAATGAATTAAAGAGGGTATCATTCTAATTTATGAAACTTCCTAATACATAAATAAATAAAAAGAAAAGAAAAACAATAGACTTGATAGGCTGATATAGCATAAAAGGTCGAAAGAATATGAGTTTTAATTGACTACTGTTACCTCAATTTTAATTAATTGATTACCGGAAAAATAATAATACAATAAAACACAGAGGGGACAAAATAAATTATCATTGATAGAAAATGGTTCTAACATTATATTATGTGAGTTGCTGATATAATTGAACCAATTTACAAAATTTGTTTTAAAGAGCAATTGAAATGAAGCAAACATCTTTTAAAGATCAATCTATACTTCCCTCCAAAACTCCAAATTAGCAAATAATTGCAAGCATTTAGGATAACTGCAAACATGATTAAAGATCTTCCACCAACTGCAACAAGCCCTTGAGATACAAAGCCAACATACAACTGCAGAAACTTAGAAACCAAAGACTTGAATGAAAAACCGAAGTTTAGTTAATCAAAATCCCAAAGAGAAACGCACGAAACTAGAAATTCCTTTAATCAGAGTCTTGGTCTTGAATTCTTATCCCAAAATTCAGCATTCGCCGACCGTTTCCTTGTCTGGGACTCTCCATTACCATCCTTACTGGTTTGAATCATTTCTTATTTTGGTGTCCTATATTGTTCCCGAGATACGGGATGAACTCTACACTTAATCATCCCTTCCCTATTATAACTAGGTTCATAACTATTACTAATAGCAAAGTGGAATGAGGCCCGAGTGAAATGCTCTTCACAGTCGAAAGATTTGTACCAAAGGAGCACATGTTTTGAATCTAACTTAGGCATCAACAGCCTACGTGAAAAATAAAAGTCATGTATCTTTCCAGATTTATCTTCGAATTCCGCAAAACATTTAATGGAACCTTGATCATGAGAATGAAGAAGTTGGGGATCAATAAGAGCACAAAAGCAGAAACCCAAAATATCATCATCCCTCTCCAGTTCGAATGAAAGAATGGACATGTGCAATTTGACGCAGAAAAAGAAAATAAGATTGAAATCTCTGGAAAATATCTAAGCCTCATACAATCATTCAAGCTAAGGATAACCAAGTTAGAAAGTTGTTTGATGCTTCAAGGAATGCTTTCGAAAACCTTTCCATCCAAATATAACTCTTTTAATGAAACTAATGATCCAGTGCTCTCTGGAATTTCTGATATCCCACAATCAACTAGAATAAGTTCCTGTAACAGATTCAAACCAGACAATGAAGATGGTAATGTTTGTATGCCACTTCTTGTTGCAATGAGTTCCCCCAGAGATTTTAAATCTCCTAAGTGAAGATGGTAATGTTTGTATGCCACTTCTTGTTGCAATGAGTTCCCCCAGAGATTTTAAATCTCCTAAGTTATTTGGCAATCTGGGAAGAGGTTGAGGAAGGAGAAGAAGCAGCAATGGAATTAATGATAAAAGAAGGGGTTCACTGGGAAGAGATTGAAGCAGAAGAAGAGAAAGAAGAACCCATAACGGAGAATTCCAATGATACGAGAATATATTTTGTTAGGAGCCGGCAATAAAATTACGAGAATAATTACGCAGCAGAAATGTGACACACAGAAATTTACATGGTTCACCTTGTTTAATGTTACGTCGTGGGACCAACTCTGAATAATTACAGTTTATTGCTGATCAAGTTAAAATACTGATAAAAATTGACCTAACAATCATAATTTAATAATTTTTTTAAATCACAATTAGATAATTATGTAACTCTGTCATAATTTGAAAATTTCAAGAAGTATTTCAAGCATAAAAAATACTATATTATTAATTAACCATTTTTGCTCAAAAATCAAAGAATTCACTGTTCATATTTAGATAATCAAAATATAATTACTATCCATTATCCATATTAAAACTATCATTTTAAATGGCCAAGCCCGACTATTTAGTTTCATATGATACAAATTTTGCTCCAAACAGTAACAGATTGATATATATATATATATATATATATATTATATATATATATATATATATTATATAACACACACACACAACCTGTGCCACCATATATATATATACACACACACACACCTGTGCACACACACATCAATTAATACATTTGATCAAAACAAGTAAAACGGTGTATATTTACTGTATCAATATTAATTTAAGTATAATCGAGAGTCCTATTTTCCTTTAGAGCATAAACAACATTCATGGCAGTGATAGATTTCCGATAAGAAAAAAAATCGTAGAATCGCAGCCAATACCAATGGAGAAAAAGACGATAAAAACATAAATGAAATATTAGAAGAATATAAAGGAAATCAATTTTCCAATGACGACTCTCATGCCGATCCTGTATGTGACGATGTCTCTCACATAAGTCTTGTCAATGGAGACAGAGTTTACGAAAAAAAATGAAATACATAATTTGCTTATGTATTTTTGATTAAAAATGAAAAGTAAAACATTTTCCGGACATTAACAAACTTATTATAACCTTATAATTTTTTAATTTATTAATCATTGATAGCTATTATTCATCACTAGCGGATACCGTCGACCCCCACCATCGGTCACTGACAACTTTCATAATTTATTTTTTTTTCATTCTTCTCATATTTAACAATAAAATTTTTAAAATACGAAATTTCTATTATTATTATTAATATTTTTATGGTCTTATGAATTAAAATTTTAATATTTTTAACTGATTTTTAATATTGCAATCAAACAACAAAAAAAATTATTCGAAAAATATTTTTCAAAGGAAAACATTTTATCTTCCGAAAATAAACGTGTTGGGCATCAGCTCTGATACCACTTGTTGGGCATCAGCTTTGATACCAGTTGTTGGGCCTCAGGTACCACTTGCCTCACCTCTGATACCACTTGTTGGAACCTTTTAATAAAGTAAGAGGAAATTAACGCAACGGAATAATCAAAATTGTGACACACAGAAATTTACATGGTTCACCCTCAACTGTTTAGGGCTATGTCCACGAGACAAACTCTGAATAACTCTTCCACTATTAAAAATAGTAGGTACTCAAAGAGAGTAATACAAAAATAGTGGCACTCAAAGTGTTTCCCAAAAACACCCTATAATAATTTTCTCAATATTTTTTTCCCCTAGTTTTATGAAACCCTTCCCAAAACTAAATAACTCTCTCTCCCTAAATTTTATTTTTCTTTTTTTCTGATGTGTGTGTTTTGAAGCATTGCATCCTCTTCTATTTATAAGAGAAGAGTAACGCGTACACTGAAAATATAACGTGTCGACCGAATTTCCTTCTCTATTTTTCTTTCTTTTGTCAAAGCTTATGGATCCCATAGGACCCACATGTTTCCTTTTTTATTTTCAACAATGTGTGGGTCCCACAGAATGGGCACCCCACAACAAAACGTAACCTAAGTCGTTAACCTAAGTCATTGCGTCTTTCTTCCTCCTCCCATGTATAACTAGAAAATATTCCCTTCAATTTTCTTTTTTGACTACTGCAATGATGGTGTTCATATTGTGTCTTTCTTCCCCCTTTTCCTCCCTCCTTCCATGTATAAATACCAAAATATTCCCCATATTTTTTTTTGCCTGTTAAATTTATGGGACCGATAAGTATATATATTAATTATTAATTTGTTAAAGTAAATTAATATAATAAGTTACTTATCATACAATATATCATTTCAAATGATAGTTTTAATATGGATAATGGACATTGATTATATTTTGATTATCTAAATATTAACGACGTTAACGGTGGATTCTTTGATTTTTGAGTAACTAAATAGATTAATTAATAATATAGTATTTTTTATGCTTAAAATATTTCTTGAAATTTTCAAATTATGACCAAGAGTTACATAATTATGATTTAAAAAAATTATTAAATTATGATTGTGAGGTCAATTTTCCTCGGTATTTGCTTAAATATTTGAAATTTTCAAATTATGACCAAGAGTTACATAATTATGATTTAAAAAAATTATTAAATTATGATTGTGAGGTCAATTTTCCTCGGTATTTATACTATGATTTTTTATACTTATCAGCAATTGGATTCAATGGAAATAGCTTTTACAAGTGAGCAATAAACTCTAATTATACAAATCAAGCGAAGCGGCAAACACGGCACATTAGATCCGCTCACGCACGCACTAAAATGTCTCTCTTTGCTTTACTCTCGCATCGCCCCACTTTTCTCTCTTTCCCACTTCCACTCACTCACTTTCTTAAATCTTCTTTGAAGTTTCTGGGATGATGACTCTTAAATCTAAATGGTTTAGCTTTATATACACTCCTCTACGTTTTATAATGTTGGAAAAAATTACGCAAAATCCCCAATAAGATCCCCAATAAAGTCAGATTTATGAGGGAGCAAAGAAAAATAATCAAACACATAATTTGAATAACGGAATAACGGAGTTCGGCCAATCTTGCCTACGTCTCCGGACTACCATAGATCTTTTATAAGACAAAAATAAATAAAGTGTTTACATACACTCACAATCCTCTATAAAAGAATACCCGAAGAATTAAGTTTAACTTTTCTTCTTGGATAATCTCTATTTTTCTCTCTTACAATTGCTATTTCTCACAATTGCTATCACTCCCTATTTGTGTTGTATTTAAATGAACTTCGTCTGCCTCCTTTTATAATCAGTTCAGTGAATGAGTCGTGTATAACTCATTCATGTCTCCATACTTTGTCAAAAAAAAAATTGCCAACTTTTGCCAAATTTTCTTCTTTTTCAAATAACACGTTTTCCTTTTTTTTTTTTTTTTCTTTCTTTTGCACATATGGGTCCCATTTAAGTGGGCACACCACAACCAACTTTGACATATAAAACTCTCGTTCTACGGCTTCTTGTATCATTTGAATTTTCCGTTATGGGTTCTTCTTTCTCTTCTTCTGCTTCAACCTCTTCCCAGCGAACCGCTTCTTTTATCATTAATACCAATGCTGCTTCTTCTCCATCCTCAACCTTTTCCCAGCAAACCCCTTCCGAGCTAAATAACTATGAAGTTTTTATTAATTTCAGAGGCAAAGACATCCGCGACGGTTTCCTCTCCTTTCTCTTTGAATCTTTGAAGGAAAAGGGAATCGATACCTTCAAGGATGAAAAACTTAAAAAAGGAACTGAAATAACACCAGCCCTCAAGCAAACAATTCAAGAATCATGTATTTCAATTGTCATATTCTCCAAAAACTATGCAGATTCTCCATGGTGCTTGGACGAGCTTGTTGTGATAAATGAATGCAGAGAAAAGTCGGGGCAAATAGTTTTGCCAGTTTTTTACCGTGGTTTTGCCAAGTTTTTTAACCGTGTAGATCCAACTGATTTGTTCAAGAGCTGAAGAGGCCCTTTCGCAAGGCACTTGCTAGGCTTTAAAAGATCACAGCGATAAGTTCAACACAAACCTGGGTGGAAATGGGTGCCATGCTTTGAAGATGAAGACAATCAGCAACGACTTAAGTGCTTTTGTTTCGAATGAGATCAAGTAAAGTTATCATTTTCCCCTGTTTACTTTTCCATGTCTTTTTATTTTCCATTCATCAATAATAGATCAATCTTGCGCACACAATAGATGGCTTTTATTCACGATATCTACTCCTTTGAACTCTCACTTATTTTTATTTTCTTGTTACAATTCTGTTTCATTTTCTCATATTCCTTCAATCATGGGTTTTACCCACCCAGTTTTTCCAAACACTTAATTGATTCTATTCTAGAATATATAAGTTTTGGCTTACTTTTTGTTTTTCATATGTGATCAGAAACGACCAAACGCTAGTTCAAAGAATCGTCAATCGTGTTTCGGAAATATTAAGTCATATGCCATCAAATGCTAGTTACCATGACAAGTTAATTGGAATTGATTCGCGTGTCGAGGAAGTAATATCGTTATTGGATATTGATGTAAATGACAGAAATTGGATAATAGGAATTTGGGGAATGGCTGGTATTGGGCTGGTATTGGAAAGACAACTCTTGCTGGTATAGTGTTTTCCCAAATCAAGGCTAAATTTGATGCCCACTGCTTTGTTTCAAATGTCAAGGAACTGATAAGGAAGGAAACAGCAATTGTTTTACAGGATAAAATCATTCGTTCACTATTGGGAGAGGAAAATTTGAAAATGGGCTCACCTCTTTTAGTTTTAGATGACTGGATTTTGAGGAGGCTGCAACGTAAGAAAGTTCTTATTGTTTTTGATGACGTTGATGATTCAAACGATTTGGATCTTTTAGCTAGAAACTGTAGTTTGTACCGTAAGGGAAGTAGAATAATTATTACTAGTCCAGATAGACAAGTACTTCGAAATGTTTGCCATGAAGAACATATTTATCTGGTTGAGGGATTAATTGATGAGGAAGCTCTTCAACTCTTTAGCTTGCACGCTTTCCATCAAAATGAACCGAAAGAAGGATATGCGGAGCTATCCGAGCAGCTGATAAGTTATGCTCAAGGCAATCCATTAGCACTAAAAGTTTTAGGTTCTAGCCTTTATGGCAAGGAGAAAGAGTACTGGGAGAGCCAGTTGCTCAAATTGAAAAGCATCCCGAACAAGAGAATTCAAGATGTTCTAAAAATAAGTTATGATGGGTTAGATAGAAATGAGCAGATCATATTTCTGGATATTGCATGTTTCTTTGGTGGATATTGCAATGGTTTCTTTGGAAAAAGGAGATCACAATGAATAAGCTTGAAAAAATAATAGAAGTTTTGGTTTTCTTTGCGAGATGTGGAATAAGGAGTCTCATTGATAAATCTCTCATCGCCATTTCGGAAAATATGATGTAAAAGTAAGAAATGCACTAACTTATCGCAACAATGGGAGAGGAGAAATTGTGAATGAGGAATGCAAAACAGCCTGGACGGACGTACGTAGGTTGTGGAATCCTGAGGACATTTCTCATGTATTAAAACAAATACAGTAAGGGGAGCAAAATTTGCTACAAAACAAATACAGTAAGGAGCAAAATTTGCTACATTTTTCTTTTGTTGTTTTTTTATATTTGAATAATTGAAATTTGAACTTACCGCTCCACATAATTAGTAATGATTCCAATAGCTTTTTTTTTTTTAATATTTTATACTCAATTACCTATTTTCATTTATTGTTCATTTATCAGGGAACTGATAAGATTGAGTGCATTTCGTTTAAAATGTCGAATGCTGGAGCTATTGAGATAAGTTCCAAAAGTTTCATGAAGATGCCTAATCTTAGATTCCTCAGAATGTCTGGTTCCAAATGGATTTTGCCTGATGGACTTGATTTTCTTCCAGAAGAGCTAAGATATTTACGTTGGTACGGTTACCCTTTGAAATCGTTGCCGTTGAAGTTTTGCCCAAATAACCTTGTACAACTTCGCTTGCCTGGCAGCCAACTCAAACATCTGTGGGATGGAGATAGTAAGGTATACTTCCTAAACTTTAATATTTCTATTTGGTGTAAATGAACTTATAACATAATAAGATGTAGTTTGATAATAACTTGTATTTAGTTGAGTTAAAATTTATAAAAATGGTTTGATGAGAGTGGCAAAAATATATCCAGTGAGATCATAAAAGAATATCATAAAAAGAAATAATATGCTTTAATCATTAAACTAATGCTTATTCTTAAATGCATTTCTGAGGAAATAGAATTTAAAATTTTCTTAATGAATCATTTACAATTGTTTTATGTCCAATACATTTTTTCCAAATTGGTCTTCATATAGTTACAGGTCAAATCTTTGAATTAAATGAGACTTTTTAATTTCGTCTTAAATTCTAAATATTAGCGATGAGTAATAAAAATTTTGGTCAATCAATATATGATGTGTTAATTTTTTACCCTTATAGCAACAACAAATAGAAACTATCTAAACATAAATTTATTAATCTCCATACTTTAAATTGGCTTATTTTAATTTTGGTATTTGTACAGACAATTATATTAAACAATTTTTAGAATTTATTTTTTGTATTATTTGATTAAATAAACAAATAAGTAAATAACTAATTTTGAATTATAAAATAATTATTTTGTGAGTATTTGGTTTTATGCTTAGGTTATTGTAAATTTAAAATAAATAATAAGAATACTAAAAATATAAATTATGCTTGTACCAAGATCTCAAACTTGGTTACAAGGTAAACAATCAAGAGATTTTCCACCAAGCTACATTCCACATCGATCATTTTCTTAAAGAATATATATATAAGATAAAATTTTTGAGACATGGGAGCCATGGCCCCTGCTAGCCAGTAGCCACCATTGGATAAGTAGTGAATTTTTTTTTTTTTTTTTTTTTTTTTTTTTTTTTTTGATAAATAACAAATATATGTAAAACATGAAATTTTAATAATTCATATTCTTGCTCTTTTTATTACAGCCTTTTAAAAGTTTGAAAGTTATGAACCTCCGCAGCTCTCTGTCTTTATTGAGAATTTCGGACCCATTTCAAGCCCCAAACCTTGAGGAATTATGTTTGTCAAGTTGTAGAAGTTTCATTGAGATTCCTTCATCTCTTAAATATTCAAGCAAGTTTGCTCGGCTACACTTAGAGCACTGTGTAAGTATTCGCAGTTTGCCAAGCTTCCTTCAGTTAGAAAGTCTTGAGATTCTTAATCTTAAAGATTGCAGTAAACTTGAAGAATGTCCAGAGCTTCCTTGCAATTTAAGAGATTTAAATTTAAGTAAAACTGCAATAAAACAATTGCCTTCATCAATTGGACATTGCTCTCAACTTGTTGCATTATCGTTAAGGGAGTGTACAAAGCTTGAAAATCTTCCAGACTGCATTGGCCAGTTACAATCTCTTGAACGCATTGATGTTACAGGTTTGAAATTCAACAGATTGCCAAATAACTTCGGAGATTTAAAATCTCTGAAGGCACTTAACGCAACAGGAAGTGGCATAAAAACATTACCATCCACTTTCAATCAATTGAGCCGATTGAAATGTTTATATTTTGAGGGATGTAAAGGTTTGACGGTATGGCCTTCTTCGTTGTCCGGTTTGAATAGAATACAGAAGCTTTATCTCGGTAACTGTGGCATATCAGAAATTCCAGAGAGTATTGGATCATTAGTTTCATTGATAGAGTTATATTTAGATGGAAACGATTTCGAAAGCATTCCTGCAAGCATCAAACAACTTTCTAACTTGGTCACTCTTAGGTTGGATGATTGTAAGAGGCTTAGATATTTGCCAGCGATGATTGTAAGAGGCTTAGATATTTGCCAGCGCTTCCAGGCACAAGGTTTTTTTTTGCATCAAATTGCACCTCTTTAGAATTTGTATCATTTTCGTCCTTTCCCAAAGCAGAAACAGCATATGGCCGTCGGTGCATTCAACTTAATTTTGGTAACTGCATCAAATTGGGTGATAATGTACGTCTTCAAATTACGGAAGCCCTGTTCTCAGCACATCAAGGCCAGAACGTACGTTTCCTTTCTCTAATATTAAATTATTAAAGAAGTCCTAATTAAAAAAATGTTATTTAAGATTTTCGATGATAAACATCAATGGAATATATATTTTAATTATTTTAATTTGGGTTATTATAGGCGTTTTTTAAAATTTAATAAAGAATTCCTTACCATAAAAAAAATATTACGAAAAGATTTCAATAGTTATTATGGGCGTTTTTTAAAATTTGTGTTTAGATTATCCATTTAATCTTTCATCAGCTATTTAAATTCAGCTCTATCGTTAATTAATTATGATATTCTTTAACAAAATATATTTTCATGGAGCAGGATTTATACTTATGTATCCCTGGGGTGGAAGTGCCGCAAAGTATCAAATATCGAACAAGTGGGTCTTATTGTTCAGTTCAGTTGAAAAGGTTTGATCGTATGTTGGGTTTTTATTTTGCTGTTGTTATAGATTTCCAAGATTTTGATTTAGATAGATATAACATTAGAGGTTCTATGAACTTCCAAGATAAATCTGGAAAGATGTACAAGTATGACTGTGACTTTTATTTGCTATATTTAGGGCTTCCTAAGTTAGATTCAAAACATGTGTTCCTTGGGTATAAATCTTTTGATCATGACCAGAATTTCACTCAAGTCTCATTCCATCTTGAACATTTCGGAAAATCTGGTGGCACTAGTGGGAGGGTGATCAATTGTGGCATTCATCCTATATATCGGGAAGAATATAGGAAGCCGAAATAAGGAATGATTAAAACCAAGAAGGATGGTATCAGGGAGAACCAGACAAGGATACAGTACAGTCGGCGAACGTTGAATCATGGGAGAAGAATTCAAGACAAAGACTCAGATAACTTATGCATTTGTCATTTATATAATTGTTAACTTCCAACCTTAATCACCCGTCTTGACGAGCAAGCTTGCGCCAAGTCACGAGCAGCAGATACAATACATTTATAATGAAAAGATTTTTAAATGTCATCTAATTGTATTAGTTTAATTGTAAAGAATTGAGATTCTTATTTTTGGTTAATTATATATCTAGATTCTATATTATCAAAGAAATATTTTTAAATATAAGAATATTTTTAAATTTTAATTTAATTTCATAAAAAGTTAACGATTATAAAATTTTTTATAATTTAATGAATTAAAGAGGGTATTACATTATATAGTTCATAATGTTATTCTATGTATTGAAACTCGTATAAATAAATAAACAAAAAGAAAGAGTGATAGACTTGATGGGCTTTTTTTCTTTTTTTTTTTTTTTTTGATAGGCTGATATAGCATCAAAGATCCAAAGAAAATATTTATGTGAGTTGCTGATATAATTGAACCAATTTACAAAATTTGTTTTAAATATCAATTGAAATGAAGCAAACATCTTTTAGAGATCAATCCATACTTCCCTCCAAAACTCCAAACTAGCAAATAATTACAAGCATATATTTTGGATAACTACAAACATGATTCAAGATCTTCCGCCAACTGCAACAAGCCCTTAAGATACAATGCCAACGTACAACTCCAGAAACTTAGAAACCAAAGACTTGAATTAAAAACCGAAGTTTAGTTAATCAAAATCCCAAAGAGAAACACAAGAAACTAGAAATTCCTTTAATCAAAGTCTTGGTCTTGAATTCTTATCCCAAAATTCAGCATTCGCCGACCGTTTCCTTGTCTGGGGCTCTCCATTACCATCCTTATTGGTTTGAATCATTTTATGTCCTATGTTGTTCCCGAGATACAGGAAACACTCACTGTAATCATCGGTCCCTATTTATAAACTTGTTCATAACTCTTACTAATTAGCAAAGTGGAACGAGGCCCGAGTGAAATGCTCTTCACAAGTCGGAAAAGATTGTACCAAAGGAGGCAACATGTTGTACCAAAGGAGCACATGTTTTGAATCTAACTTAGGCATCAACAGCCTACGTGAAAATAAAAGTCATGGATCTTTCCAGATTTATCTTCGAATCCAGCAAAACATTTAATGGAACCTTGATCATGAGAATGAAGAAGTTGGGGACATGAGAATGAAGAAGTTGGGGATCAATAACAGCGCAAAAGCAGAAACCCAAAATATCATCATCCCTCTCCAGCTCGAATGAAAGATGAGATCCACTTGTCTGATATCTCATACTTTGCGGCACTTCCATCCCAAGGATACATATTCTGAACACCTGCCCCATGAAAATAAAATTGGGAAAAATACAGTCAAATTAACACTTAAGTTAGGACTCTCAAAGCTGTTTCAAACTAGAGGGAACATTAGAGAAAGGAACCATACCTCTATGTTTGAATGTGGTGACAATACGATTTCTATAATTTCAATACCTACATTTTCTCCCAATTTGATGCAGTTAATAAAGTTAAGACATACATACAGAAATCCATCTTCATCTTCATGGGAAAAGAATGGACATGATACGAATTCTAAAGAGGTGCAATTTGATGCAGAAAACGAAAATAAGATTGGAATCTCTGGCAAATATCTAAGCCTCAGACAATCATCCAAGCTAAGGATAACTAAGTTAGAAAGTTGTTTGATACTTGCAGGAATGCTTTCGAAACCGTTTCCATCCAAATATAACTCTTTTAATGAAACTAATGATCCAATGCTCTCTGGAATTTCTGATATACCACAATCAACTAGAATAAGTTCCTGTAACAGATTCAGATAGTCAATATTTACCGAAATCAAGGCTAAATTTGATGCCCACTACTTTGTTTCAAATGTGAAGGAACTGATACGAAAGGAAACAACAATTGTTTTACGGGATAAAATGATTGGTTCACTACTGGGAGACGAAAATTTAAAAATAGGCGCACCTCTTTTAGTTTTAGATGACTGGATTATGAGAAGGCTGCAACGCTGCAACGGAAGAAAGTTCTTATTGTTCTTGATGACGTTGATGATGCAAACGATTTAGATCTTTTAGCTGGAAACTGTAGTTTGTACCGTAAGGGAAGTAGAATCATTATAACTAGTACAGATAGACAAGTACTTCAAAATGTTTGCCATGAAGAACATATTTATCAGGTTAAGGGATTAAGTAATCAGGAATCTCTTCAACTCTTTAGCTTGCACGCTTTCCATCAAAATGAACCTAAAGACGGATATGTTGAGCTATCCCAGCAGGTGATAAGTTATGCTCAAGGTAATCGCTATCCCAGCAGGTGATAAGTTATGCTCAAGGTAATCCATTAGCACTAAAAGTTTTAGGCTCTAGTCTTTATGGGAAGGAGACAGAATATTGGGAGAGCCTGTTGCTCATATTGAAAAGCATCCCGAACAAGAGAATTCAAGATATTCTAAAAGTAAGTTATGAAAGGTTAGATAGTGATGAGCAACGCATATTTCTTAATATTGCATGTTTGTTTCGAGGAAGACATATCAGTGAAGTTGAAAAATTATTAGAAAGTTTTGGTTTCTTTGCGAGAAGTGGAATAAGGGCGAGAAGTGGAATAAGGAGTCTTGTTGATAAATCTCTCATAGACATTTTAGACTTTACAGTATCTATGCATAACTTACTGCAACAAATGAGAAAGGAGATTGTCAATGAGGAAAGCAAACTTTGCTACTTTTTTTTTTTTTTCTTTTTATATTTGAATTTTGCAAGGAGTGTAACTCTCCTGATAGCTATAGTTAAATGTTTTATTTATTTGAGTTTAATTAATTTTGAACTTACCACTCCACAAAATTAAAGTTAGAGATGATTCCAATAGCATTTATTTTTAATATTTTGTGCTGAATTACCCCTTCTTTTTGATACATATGCATAGATATTCATTTCTCATTTGTTGTTTGTTTATCAAGGAACTGAAAAGATTGAGTGCATTTTATTTGTCATGTCTAAGGTTGAATCTATAAGTTCCACAGCTTTCATGAGGATGGCTAATCTTAGATTCCTCTATATGTATGATCATTACAGCTTAGTGAGAAATATCCTTCCCCATGGCCTTGATTTTCTTCCGGAACAACTATGATATTTATCTTGGTATTTTTACCCTTTGAAATCTTTGCCATTGAAGTTTTGCCCAAATAATCTTGTAGAACTTCACTTGCCTAGCAGCCAGCTCAAACAACTGTGGGATGGAGATAATAAGGTACGTTTTTAAAAGTTTAGCTATATTTCCTAAAGTTTAATACTTTTCTATTTGGTGTAAATGAACTTCAAGTGTAACATAATAAGATGGGGTATAATTGAGTTAAATTTTATAAAATTGATTTGATGAGAGTGAAAATTATTATTTCTTTTCCATAACAAATATAAATTAAACATTAAATTTTAATCATTCATATTCTAGCTCTTTCTATTACAGTCTCTTGGAAATTTGAAAGTCGTGGACCTCAGAGGCTCTTATGTACTTGATTAGAGTTTCAGATTCATTTGAAGCCCCCAAACCTTGAGGAATTATATTTGGGATGAAGTGGCATAAAAACATTACCACCTTCTATCAATCAATTAAGCAAATTGCAATATTTATTTTGTAAGGGATGTGAAGGTTTGACGAAATTGCCTCCTTTGTCCGGTTTGAATTGCCTATGGCAACTTTATCTGAATAAGTGTGGTCTATCAGAAATTCCGAAGAGTATTGGGTCATTACTTTCGTTGGAAGAGTTACATTTAGATGGAAACAGTTTTGAAACCATACCTGCAAGCATCAAACAACTTTCTGAGTTGAAAGTACTTGATTTGGAAGCTAAGAAATTTGCCAGAGCTTCCATGGTTAATGTCTCTTGTTGCATCCAATTGCACCTCCTTAGAATTTATATCATATCCTTTCCTTTCCCTAAAAGATCAAGATGAAGAAGCATTTGTAGAGTATATTTATGTGAAGCATGGTGAATATCTTGATTTTCTTAATTGCATCAAATTGGGGAAAGATGTATGTCTCAAAATTATGGAAACTGCTCTGTCTGGATGTCTAAACAAGAAGGTATGTTTCTTTTCTCTAATGTTACAATTAATGGAAAGGTAGACATAATAAAATCGATGAAAATCGATGGACTATTTTCTCTTTGATGAACTATTTTCATAATATTTATCAAATTTATTTTCATGTTGCAGAAGTTTAGATTATATATCCCTTGGGTGGAAGTGCTGCCAAGGATGAGATATTGGACAAGTGAATGTCATCTTTCATTCAAGCTGGAGAGGGAAGATATTTTGGGTTTCTGTTTTTGTGCTGTTATTGATCCCCAACTTCTTAATTCTCATAGAAGTTTGATAACATGTCTTGCGAAGTTGGAATATAAATCTGGGATGATCTATGACTTTCATTTTCCAGAGATCAAGCTAATGAGTAAGAAGTTAGATTCAAAACATGTGTTCCTTTTGTACGAAACTCTCAACTGTGAGCATTTCACTCAGGCTTCATTCCAGTTTGCCATTGAAGACTATGATTACAACACAAAGAAATATGTTAAAGTTTTAAGCAAGGGGATGATTCAGTGTGGTGTTCATCCTATATCTTGGAAACAATATAGGACACAGTTGATTCCGAAACTAGAAATGATTAAAACCAAGAAGGATGGTATCGGGATTCGGGAATAACCAGAGAAGGATGATTGTGGAACACTGAATTTTGGAAGAAGAAATCAAGGCCAAAATTATAATTAGTAAGCCAAAATGGATGTGGCTATGAAACTGAAAATGACATTAGGTAAAGAAATTTCTAATTTTGTGTTTTCTTTTTGGCATTTTGCTTAATTACTTTCATAATTGCTAATTTATTCCTATTTTTTTGTAGTTGTTCATTAGCAATGGATCCTAATGGCTCGTTGCAGATGGTGGAAGATCTTTAATCATGCTGTGTTGGTGCCTAAACGCTTGTAATTATTTACTCTCATCCTTGTGTCTTGATTTTGCTGGTTTGAACTTTTTGTGCGTAATTCATATTAGACCCTCGAGGTGTTTGCTTCCTTTTGAAGTAGACTCTGAAAATTGGTTAAATTATACCAGGAAAATCAAATTCAATTGTGACAGGAAAAAAAAAAAAAAATGAGAACGGAAACTAAGAAGAGAAAACCAACATAAAACCAATAGAATCAACATAACACCGGTGGCTACCCCTTTTCCATTTTTTTTTATTTTTTTCAAATAATACTCGGATTATATTTCTTGATACAGATTTAAGTTATTGTTATCAAAATATTGAGATTTATTGTTGTCCATATTTTAGGATTTTGTTATCAGATTTAGTTCTGAGTTATTGTTGTCACCGTTATGGTGATTTTGTCTAGGGTATTTTGTTATTTGGATGATTATGCAGAAAGAAGTGTAGATTTTTTTTCTCTAGTAAAAAAAGAAATTTGAAGGTGATCAGATCAGATTTATAGAAAAGCTATGGAATCGAACAATGACCACGATTAGCCACTAAATGGATCAAGCGATCGCTTATAGCACAAGTATTAGGCTCCGTCAACTCGATAAAAAATTTTAAATCAAGATGATATTTTTTTTATTCATTATATAAGTAGTTTAATATAAATTTTTTATACAAAAATATAGAAACATATTGAACTGAACCTCATATCTGTATTCAGTTTCCTCTAAATGAATTTTCTAGTTTGATTTCTTCTAAAAAGAAATGTTGAGTAAATATCGTATGATAATAGTTAAACAGACAGAGTGGAAAAACAAACGAGTTCAGTTGCTAATTGAGTGAGTTTAAAGATTCTAAAACAATGGAGAAATACGTTTTGAAATATAAATCGTTTAAGGTTTTTGTATTGGGATTAAATAATCAAGTAACTCTCTTAAATTATAATAAAATCAAAATTAATTTACATTTCATCTCAAAATTAATGACAGGAAAAGTTACTATTACGTTCTTATATTTGATTAAATACATTAGTCGACCCTTAGTTTTTTTTTGAAAATAAATTATTACATACTCTTAAGTACTACTGTCAATTTTTTATTGTTTAACAGTGAGTTAATGCACTAAAATGCAGTCCAATGAGAGAGAAAATATTTTTATGGCTAAAATACCCTTGAGTGAATTGCTTCTTGACAATGCCACAACGGGCACACCAAAAGTTAAGAGCTAGGCTTAATAGAGAAAATTCAATAAATTAGGGGGCTTAATTAAAATGCCTTTTCAGTACTTATATATGTAAATCTAGTTTTTACTAATTAAGGTGGTTCTACTTCCAGATCAAATAAATGGAAGAGATCAAATAAATGGAAGAAAAAGAGAATCAGTGGGCGTTTTTGTTGAATTTGGGAAGAGTGGGATGGAAGCCGGGCTGATATCTGTAAATTTTAAGCTATCTGCATCTGTATTTATTTAAAATTTTACTATTTATATCCGTTTCAAATTCATTTAAATATTCATTTAAATATTCGTATCTAAATCCGTTTAAATTTTTACTACTCTATATATTCAAAACCGGTTTAAAGCTCCATTACACGGATAAGGAACGTCTCTTAATAAAAATATAAGCGTTTTCCGTTAAAAAGATAAAAAAAAAGTAAGAGAGAACTAAGAAAATTAAAAATTATTTTAAAATGAGAATGATGCCTTAAGCTTTCTTTCTCTACACCTTTGTTCAATGGTCTTCCTCTCCCACCAACCACAAATTAGCCCAATTTTACTCGATCCACTGCGAGAAGATGTCCCGCCTTCTTGGGAACTGTGAAGGTTTGGGAGCTCCTCGCAATTATTCCAAGAAAAATATTTATTATTCCAAGAAAAAATATTTATCAAAAGATAAAGATCTAACAAATGACTTGGTTTGTGCAGATTGTTCCTTCTCATTTTCCTTCACAATGCCAATGAACAAGGACCCATTTACTCCTCCTCAGTCTCTACTATTTGGGAAAGCTATAAGTAGACTTCGCCGCCGTCATATAGTCCGCCCAGTAGCACGCCACAACTCAGGCTTTATAAAACCACAAAACCACTCTCAAATAGACTTCAAATATCTCATTCTATGCTGCTGCTTAGGAGGAAAAAGTTAAAAATAAATGTAACCCACATACTTCTTGAATAGACTTCTATCCAATAGTCAAACCTCATGATTTAAGGCACTCCATAGGGCATACGCAACCCTTCCCAAACACTAATGGGAGACACGTCAGTGGAGCCCAGGCTAAGACGCGTGGGAGAGGCACATGCATGTTGCATATGTGCAATTTAGTCGAAGTTTGTATCTTTTTGTTTCTTTTCTTTTAGTTAAAAAATGTATCTCGTTGTTAAAGGTGAAAAAGATTGTTTGGTATAAACCACAACCACAGCTATCTCTCTCTTTGAAAATTCCCAAAAAAGCTATCCTTCTCAAAAACCACAGCTACAGCTACATTCTATCTCTTTGAAAATCGTAGTCGACATCATCAATTGACCATGTCTCTATATAATCCAAAACCAACTACCACTATAACCAAAATTAAAACTTAAAACCAAAATTTAAACGGTTAATTGTTTTAATTGTTTAATAGCGGTTAACTGTTTAAATAGTTCTAAGTGAGTTAAATAGTTCTAAGTGAGTTAACTATTGAGTAGTTTTTAATAAAATATTAAAATTTAAACAAGTTAAATAAATTAACTTTTTTATCTTAACGTCTAAAATTGAATCTAAAATCTAAAATTGAATCTAAAATCTAATTTAAATGTTTTATCTTACACAGTAAAAAATAGTATTTAGTGTTATTATTTAAAAAGTTGTTATAGAACAACAAAAAAGAGAATTCAAATTGGTTGCTATTAAAAAAAAGCATATACTAAAATTAAATTCTAAGCATAAAGAGTTTTTTTTGAGAATAAGCCAATCTCATTGAAAAAATCAAACAAAGAGAGATGGAGTCAGATAAAACTAATTAAAAAATCAATCACAATTCAACAATTCAGCTTCAATTCATATCTCCCACGTTAAAAGCCGTAGAAAGGGAATAACTTTGACAATGATTCTGAAAAACAGGAGCTTTAGAGGGAGGGAGAAAGGAATTTTGGCAGGAATCTGAGGTAATTAAGAGAGATTTAAGAGAAAAAAAGAGAGAAAAGGAAAGGAAAATATGGAATTGGAGAGATTTGAAGGAAAGTAAAGAATCTGTGAAATTTGAATTAAAAAGGGAAACAAACAAACTGTGATTATTAAGAGAAGAAAGAATCTGTAGAACTGTAGCTTTTGTGGATGTGATTATTTTTTGAGAGGGATAATAAAGTGTGGGATGGCTCAATTTTATTCTGGTGAGGTCGCGCTTTCTCTTTTTTTTTTTTTTTTTTTTTTTTTTATAATTATGGCATCATCAGAAAGAAAAAGATTAGATGTGATAAGCAATGTATAAATATAAAGATAGCTTATGTATCTATCATAATATTATTTTGATTAGAAAATTTCTTAATCAATATCTATATTACCTGTGAATATGTAAACATTTCAAACTATCTATAGGATAGGAAGTATAAGTAATAAAATATGAGTAAGTACTTGGAATGTGTGTAAGATGGGCTGAAAAATCAATTTCGTTATTATTAATTTTTTATTTTAATCTTCCTCGAATTATTCTTTTTTTAAGTGCGGTAGTCACACATAATCTTATCATGAAATATGTAAAAAAAAAATAAAATAGAATTTACTTCTCAATAACATTATCTCAATAGGCAATTAATCTACTAACAATATACCTTCTGCGAGCTCTCTAAAACAAGACCCATAGATTTTTACTTTTTATATTTTCTCTATATTTTTAAGAAAATAATAATTAAGAACAATTATTTATATGATTTAAAGGTTATAATTTTATTCATTATTAATTTTACTTATAATGTTCAGGTCTTAATTAATACGCAAAGCAGATTGATTATTATTAGGAATATTCTAAACTACAGGATTAAATCAGCATTTATTGAATAAGATAATGGAAAACAAATTACGTTTACATATATATAGTGTTGATCATTAGCTTATTTGGGTCCAATTTACATAGATCTCTTTTTTAACCTTTTATAATTGCATTAAAGAATGAGAGTCTGACTATAATTTATTCTTTATTCGCTCAAGAGATGAGACAAAAAGAAAAGATCCCCTGTAAATATAATAACATATTATATAGAAATGAACAGTAATAGTGAGACTTTTTAAGAGACGAATTTCAAGTGGACTATATTCTCAACTATAAGTACTCTAACTATTGTAGTCTTCTCAGGTAAATTCATACCAGAGGGTCAAAGTCTGCCATTAAATACGGGATGCCGAATAGAAACTACCAATTCTTTTTTATATTGTAGAAACCTCTAAAATAGATTGCGATAATTCTCACTAACAATAATAATAAGAATAATATAAATAATATATAGATTGTAATAGCTATAAAATATCAAATTTGGATTACAATTGTCATAAAAATTAATTTAATTTTGAATGAGATTGCTATAAAAGATAAAATTTACGGTAGTTTTGCATTTCTTCATGTTAGCTTGCCATATAAATAAAACACTTTAATGAATTTTTTACAATAATGTTTAATAGTTATTTATTATTTTATTTAATTATGAATAAACTAATTTATAAAATTAATAATTCAAAAATTACATTAATAAATTTTATAAAATTTAATAAAAATATAATATTAATTCAAATGAGTTAGCAAATACAAATCAGCCGCTAAAGAATCAAATGCCAAGTAATTATTTGGATGGGACGGGACACGAGACCAACCCATAATCACAGCCACCAAAACCCCTGAAGAATATCATAAAAAGAAATAATATGTTGTAATCATTAAACTAATAATTATTCTTAAATGCGTTTCCAAGGAAATAAAATTTTAAATTTTCTTAATGAATCATTTACAACTGTTTTATGTCCAATACATTTTCACAAATTGGTCTTAATATAGTTAAAGGTCAAATCTTAAAGGTCAAATCATTGAATTAAATGAGACTTTTTAATTTCATCTTAAATTCTAAATATTAGTGATGAGTAATAAAAATTTTGATCAACCAATATATGATTAGTCCAAACTAAAGAAATTCAAATGTTAAGAATATACTTTGACTTTTTTAAAGAACAGATGATGTGTCAAATACAATTCTATTAACATACAATTTTTAGAATTTATTTTTTGTGAGTATTTGGCTTTATGTTTTAGTTTTATGTTTTAGTTATTGTAAATTTAAAATAAATAATAAGAATATTAAAAATATAAATAAAAATATAAATATAAATTATGCTTTTACTAAGATATCAGACTTGGTTACAAGGTACGACAATCAAGAGATTTTCCACCAAGCTACATTCCTCATTGATCATTTTCTCAAACTATATATATAACATAAAATCTATGGTTCCACCATTGGATGAGTTGTGAAATTATTATTTTTTCGATAAATAACAAATTTATGTAAAACATGAAATTGTAATAATTTATATTCTTGCTCTTTTTATTACAGCCGTTCAAAAGTTTGAAAGTTGTGTACCTCAGCAACTCTAAGTCCTTGATTAGAATTTCGGACCCATTTCAAGCCCCAAACCTTGAGGAATTATGTTTGTCAAGTTGTAGCAGTTTAATTGAGATTCCTTCATCTCTTAAATATTCAGTTTGAGATTCCTTCATCTCTATAATAATTCACACCCAAGCTTGTCTGTGCCCTACACCTTAGGTATAACTCTACTGTGAATGAAGTGTGATATACGCAGTGTTTTGCCTTCATTGGACTTATCTTGCAGTTAGAAATCGATAGTTGAATTAACTTAATGCTATCTTACTTTGGCTATTGGCCTATGCAAACATGGCATGGTGCCCTTGCCAGTCGGTCGTTGCAGTAAACTTGAAGACATGTCCTTGAGTCTTGTGCGCTGCTCACACCTTGTGTAAACGAGTGAGTATTAATCCTAGAATGAAGACTGCAATTAACAATATTGGTCCTGCCATTCATCAATTCTGGACTTATTGGCTACTCGAATTTTGTTGCCTATATGTCGTAGTAAGCTGATGTAACGGTACCGCTTCAGAATTTCTCCATAAACTTTTTTATCCACCTATAATATGACCCGAAGTACCAGCCCAGAATCCACAAATTAATCCGGAGGGCTGCTACTTGTGCAAGTTAATAACTCTTCTGCATAAGAAAGTCTTGACGAACAAGAATGAGGTGTGGCATAAAAATTATTCCCACATCCTCATTTCTATCGGCAATATTGGACTTTCACTGACCTATTGGTACATTAGTATTTGAGAGGTATGTATATAGGCTATTGCAGGTAATGGGTGCCTATCTTTTTGAATACCGAGATTGATAAGGCATACAAAGTGAGGGTTTTACATGAGATAAACTAAAAAGAAGGAAATAAATATTTACGAAAGAAGACTTTCTCATGTGATGTGCTGAGATTGGTATCATTATGTCCATTTAGAACTATTGTCTGATTATATGTAGACTTAGCTAGGAATCGAATTTTATTATGTTTGTCAAGTTGTAGCAGTTTAATTGAGATTCCTTCATCTCTTAAATATTCAACCAAGCTTGTTCGGCTACACTTAGACTACTGTGAAAGTATTCGCAGTTTGCCAAGCTTTCTTCAGTTAGAAAATCTTGAGATTCTTAATCTTCGAGGTTGCAGTAAACTTGAAGAATGTCCAGAGCTTCCTTGCAATTTAAGGAAATTAAATTTAGATGAAACTGCAATAAAACAATTGCCTTCATCAATTGGACATTGCTCTCAACTTGTTGCATTATCGTTAAGCTGGTGTACAAAGCTTCAAAATCTTCCAGACTGCATTGGCCAGTTAAAATCTCTGAAGGAACTTTACGCAAGTGGGAGTGGCATAAAAACATTACCATCCTCTTTCAATCAATTGAGCCGATTGGAACATTTATATTTTGAGGGATGTAAAGGTTTGACGGTATGGCCTTCTTCGTTGTCCGGATTGAATAGGCTACAGTGGCTTTATCTGGGTAACTGTGGTATATCAGAAATTCCAGAGAGTATTGGATCATTAGTTTCATTGACATTCTTATATTTAGATGGAAACGATTTCGAAAGCCTTCCTGCAAGCATCAAACAACTTTCTTACTTGGACACTCTTAGCTTGGATGATTGCAAGAGGCTTAGATATTTGCCAGAGCTTCCAGGCATAAGTTCACTTTCTGCATCAAATTGCACCTCTTTAGAATTTGTATCGTTTTCGTCCTTTTCCTAAGGCAGAAACAGAAGATGACCTTCTTTGCACCCTTATGCTTAATTTTAGTATCTGCATCAAAATGGGTGATAATGTACGTCTTCAAATTACGGAAGCCCCGTTCTCAGCACAGCAAGGCCGAGACGTACGTTTCTTTTCTCTAATATTAAATTAATAAAGAAGTGCTTATTAAAAAAAAATTGTTAATTAAGATTTTTGATGATAAACATCAATGAAATATTTTCCTAACTTGTGAATTCATAATTAATTTATGCTTTGACAATGGAAGAGAGATAAACATAATAAAATTCAACTATATATCACGAAAAGATTTCAATAGTCATTATGAGCGTTTTTTAAAATTTGTGTATAAATTATCTATTTACTCATTCATCAGCTATTTAAATTCAGCTCTATCGTTAATTAATTATGATATTCTTTAACAAAATATATTTTCATGGAGCAGGACCATAATTTATGTATCCCTTGGGTGGAAGTGGTGCAAAGTATGAAATATCGAACAAGTAGGTCTCATCTTTCAGTTCAATTGAAAAGGCCTGATCGTATATTGGGTTTTTATTTTGCCGCTGTTATAGATTTCCAAGATTTTGATTTGGATTCATATGACATTATAGGTTCTGTGAGCTTCCAAGGTAAATCTGGAAAGATGGATGAGTATGTCCTTAACTTTCGTGGTCAAAGTCTTGGGCCTTCCAAGTTGGATTCAAAATATGTTTTCCTTGGGTATGAATCTTTTGATCATAAATGGAATTTCACTCGAGTCTCATTCCATGTTGATTATGTCTCTGTAAATTATTCCGGAAAAGGTGAAGTCATTAGTGGGAGGATGATCAATTGTGGCATTCATTCTATATATTGGAAAGAATATAGGAAAGCGAAAAGAAGGAATGAAAGAAGGAAAGAATCGGACAAGGATATAGTAGAGGCGGCAAACACTGAATTATGGGAGAAGAATTCAAGACAAAAACTCTGATTAAGGTCAATTAGTATGGCAAAGAAATTGACATAAGGTAAAGAAGTTTTAATTTTCGTGCGTTACTTTGGGATTTTGGGTTGACTTAGTTTTCAATTCACAGCATCATTAGTAGTGGAGAGAATCAGCTTATTTATTGGCTGTTACTTTGGCTATTAGCACTCATAAATAGCTAATCTATTTTCTAAGTTTCTGCAGTTGTACGTTGGCATTGTATCTTAAGGGCTTGTTGCAGTTGGTGGAAGATCTTTTAATCATGTTAGACTTCTACTTTCGACCTGCAAGTTCAATTCCTTCAAAATATTGAAATTCAAACTAAAAGAATACAAAGCCAATGACTTGAATTTTTCTTTTTTTTTTTCTTTTTTTTTTTTTTTTTTAATTCTAGCAATTAATTCTAGCAATTCTGGAATATTCTTCATCCACATAATTGATGAAGTCCACCGATATAGTGCTGGTAACATTCTGAAACATTTGCAGCTCTTCAATTAGAGTATCCATTAAATTTCATAGCCCCAATGTTTTTAGTTGCAAGATCTTGGAGCTGTCATCATTCAGGTCATATTATGGTCAGTGAAAAGTAAAATGTTTTAATGAAACATGGACTAAAATTTACACCAATAGTCAAACCTCATGATTTAAGGCACTCCATAACACTAATGGGAGACAAGTCAGTGGAGCCCAGACTAAGACGCGTGGGAGAGGCACATGCATGTTGCATACTGCAATTTAGTCAAAGTTTGTATCTTTTTATTTCTTTTCTTCATAGTTAAAAAATTTATCTCATTGTTAAAGGTGAAAAAGATTGTTTGGTATAAATACTATCTCTTTGAAAATTCCCAAAAAAGCTATCCATTTCAAAAACCACAACCACAGTTACAGCTACATTCTATCTCTTTGAAAATCGTTGTCGCCATCATCAATTGACCATGTCTCTATATAATCCAAAACCAACTACCACTGTTAACCATCGGTATCACCAAAAGTTTAAAACCTAAAAATCAAAACTCTAACCAGCTAATATAAGTCAAAATAAAACCAAATCAAAAAGAAAATTAGAAAAAATTTCTCTCTGCAACATTGTTTTCTTTGTTGTCATTAAACAAAATGTATGTTTCCAATCAAATTAGAGCAATAATTTTCCAAAGCTTCAATATTTGGTATAGCGAAATTAGAATACTATCTTGATGGAGACAGAAAATTGTACGACTTACATAGGAAGGAGTTCTGGGAATATGAGTGTTAATAATGAATCCTCTACTTTCAGTGACTGTAAGACTGACAAATCTAGCAAGTTTCCGACAGCAACAGGAAGGAGTTCTGGGAATATGAGTGTTAATAATGAATCCTCTACTTTCAGTGACTGTAAGACTGACAAATCTAGCAAGTTTCCGACAGCAACCTCTAAAAGCTAACGATTATTTATAGTCTGCGCATCAAAATAACCCTACTAATTTGATTTTCCAGCTCATACTGGATGTTGAGGCCTATTCAATTGATGAGTGAAAGCAACCGACTATAGAAATTTGGCTCCTAGCCAAGAACAAATCAAATAACCACCCTAAAATCATCAAAGCCTTTGATTTCACCAATATTATCATTGGATCTTCAGCTTTCCTCCCTCTTTCCATGTATAAATACCAAATATTCCCAATAATTTTCTTTTTTGCCAATTAAATTTTTTTTTTCAAAGATAATATTATTGCATTAATCAAGGAAATAAATCCAATAAACAAGAGGGATAGAATTCCTTTTTTATTTTTTTGCCCATTAAAATTATGGGACCGAGAAGTATACATATTAATTATTAATTAAAAGTAAATTTATATAAGAAGTTACCTATTATACAATATATAATTTCAAATGACAGTTTTAATGTGGATAATGGGCAGTGAGTATATTTTGATTATCTAAACATTAACAGTGGTGGATTCTTTATTTTTTAGCAACTAAATAAATAAATTAATAATATAGTATTTTTTATGCTTGAAATATTTCTTGAAATTTTCAAATTATGACCAAGAGTTACATAATTATCTAACTATGATTTTTTTTAAAAAAAATTATTAAATTATGACTGAGGTCAATTTTTCTCGGTATTTAGACTATGACTTTTACACTTGATAAGGAATATAATGGTCTAAGTAGTTACATGAATTTCTCTTAGTTATATTATTCATCTTTTTTTTTTTTTTGGGGGATTCTTCCCCTTGATATAATTATGGCATCATCAGAAAAGAAAAAGATAGTGAAAGCATGTAAATTAAAGAAGTAATGTTTCTACTTATTTTGAGAAAATTCTTATTTAACAACTTCATTTCTTGAACACTCTATTATATATATATGTATATTATATATATATATATATATATATAATATAATTGGATGTTTGAACCAAATTTGTAAATTAACTTTTTATTTATCTCTCAAAATTAGTGTTCTCCGTAATCAAGAAATGTTAAAAAAATGATTTTTCGCTCATACATCGTCTCTCAATCTACTACTTCCTCCATTCTAAAAATATAGTTTGCTTTTTATTTTCACATTTTAAGAAAATAGTAATTATTATGATTAAAGGATAATTTTATTCATATAATTGTCTTATTATGTTCATCTTAAATAATACGCGAGCAATTATTATATTGAAATAATAAGTAAGAATTAATCAGGGTTATTGAAAATAAAATAAAGTTTAATAATGGTGTAATAGATAATTTAAAGATTAACTATAATGCAAAAAAAAAAAAAAAATTGGAAACCATCCCGAATTATTTATTTTTCAAAACTTTCGAATTTTTATTTTTTATTAAATTAAAAATCTCGATTTTCAACTATATGGGCTATAAATACCAAACAATTTCAATTCGAGCCCAAGTTTACGGAGTCGGGCTCAAGCCCAAAGCATATTATTAAATATTTGCCAAGTGGAGAACCTTTAGAAATTTTTTTAAGAGTAAATATGGAGCACTAATTATTAAATTATTAAAAATGTGTATGTATATGTGTGTGATTACTATATATAAATTAATTTTCCTAAAATTCAAATATGATTACTAACTATATTTTTTTATTTTTATTTAGTTAATGGAGGAAATGTTATGAAACCTAATTAAAATAATTAAAATAAATTGAACCGGACCCGAAACTCAAATTGATTTTTCGAAAACCTCGAAAAACCACACGAATAACCTAAAAAAACCAAGTGGAAAAACCAGCAAACCGAACAAAAATCGAGCCGGAATCATTGAATTATAGACCAAACCGGTTCGGATGAACCGGAATGGTCTAGAAGCCCAAGATTTTTTTTTCTTTTTTTTTTTTTTTTTTTTTTTGTCTCTTTTTCTTTCTTTTCCTTTCTTTTTTTCTTTTTTTTCCCTCTTCTTCCTTGCGCCAGCGCCAGCGCGCGAAACTTCCTCCTCCTCCTCTTCTTTTTCGACAACCGAAGACCAGCGCTTGTGCCTCCTCGCCACTCGCCTCCACGCCGCAGTGGATCCCGGGCTTCCCTTCTTCCTCTCTCTTTGTCTCTGGCGTACGCAGGAAAGGTGCAAGAGAAGCCGCGACACCTTCGATCGGAGATCGCGTCGAGCCTCCTCCTGCCTTGATTTTCCGGCGGCGGCCACGTCGATTCCCTGTTGTCGACGAAGAAGCTTTCGGTTCTCTTTCTTCACTCTCCCCTTCCTGTTCCGTTGGCACAGCAAACCAGGAGGCTGCTCGCAATAGGTGCAGTTGCGCTTGCCTTCCCTTTTCGATTTTCCGGCGAGTCGGGTAAATTTATTTTCAAGCCTTTTCCAATCTTTCATGAATTTTGATCTTGATAGGGAAGTTGATATAGAAATGAAATTTAGCTACTGTTATAGATTAACAAAAAAAAAAAAAAAAAATTTTGGAACGCTAATGTTTTCTTAAGAAATTTATGAAACTATAAAAATAAATACAGAAAAAATGGATACAAATTATTGAACAGCAAGCATTAGTTCTTTTATATAATACCATTAAGATTAGAGGGTAAGAGAGAAATAAGTCACCCTAAATGCTAGGTGTGAAATTTTTTGCAGAGCGACGATCAACATCAGTTTTTAACAGTATGAAATAAGAGCAGGAATGCTGAACTTCCCTTTTATATTTTCTTAAACCTGCTAATTTCTGGGTATGGTTTGATATTTTTGGCAGTGTGACACTGTGAGCAGGGAGAGTGCTTTGCTCAGGGCTTTTTATAGGCTCTAATTGGAGTTAAACATTAAATTAAAAAACGTTGTTTTGCACATTCAAAATTGTGGTTTTGCTTTATACCTTTGGTAGTTAATAAAAAAAAAAAGTTGGTTCCTTTTATGTTTGTATATTATCATCAGCTAAAATCTGTGGTTTGTAAATTTCATTTGGTGCATTGTATTGGGCGCGTTGGCCGTTTTCCTGAACAAAAAGCTTCTCCAACATTACATGATATGACTCAGTGCAGTGAGTCTCATTTACACATCAATCAAAAACAATTTTTTTTGCAACAAATGAAAACGGATGAGAAACGATTAAAAACAATTATTAAACATTTAGAACTTTTTTTTTTTTTTAAATTGACTTAGGTGTATGGATGATCACATACATTAAGTGCATTACGAGTTTTCTTATTTCTTGACATGGTTGCTTTGAAAGGAGGATGGGAATAAGCTTGATTGATTGCCGACGGATGGGCTTGTGTATGATTTGAGAATATATGATAATATTGTGATATCTAAATAGGTGGCATAGTTTCAATTTTTTAGGGGAAAGTGCTGCCGAAATTTCCAATAGAATCTAGACTAGTTTTAATTAATAACACTAATAAGTTTATTTTAGATTAATTTTATAACTTAAGTACATATAAATAGAGTGCTTTAATTATTTATTTATTATCATTATTTATTTCATTTAATTATTTAATTGATATTTATTTCGTTATTATTTGTTATTATTTTATTTATTGTGTTCATTGTTATTACTATTTATTTATTATTTTGTATTTGATTTTGGATGTCTAATTGTGCATTGTATTACGATGTTCAACTGATCAATATGTCTTGCATTTGATTGCAAAGTTTTGTTTAT